ATTCTTGATCTTGGGGTCGTGAGTTCAAAGCCCATGTTGGGGGCAGAGCTCACTTAATTAAAAATAAAAAAAGATTACAGTGAGTTTTAAAGAATCTGGACAAATACGTAAGAAGGTGAAATGAAACTCTGCTTCACTGGCAGTGTTGGTATCTACAGCAGGCCCTCCATTTGAACCCCTACTGGTCCAGAAGACAAGATCTTGGAGGCAAAACTCCCACACCCAGGATATTGTGGAGTCGGGGTGAGAGCTCTTCACCATGCTACGCGCTCAAGTATGAGGCAGAGCACCCCATTTATGGTGAACCAATAATGTAATGTCCTAATCTGGAAGCCCTCGCCACAGCATGCTCAAGAGGCATCCACAGGCAGCCTGCCGTCCAGGGTTTCTGGAATCTCTAAAATCCAAATCACGGAAACCTCCATTTAGCAAGGAGGGAAATATGACCAGACAGCACAGTTCAGATTTGACCAAGAGCTCCCCAACTGCAAAATCACTCCACAATAGGACAATATCTTTACTGCTTTCAGACTTTCTACAGTGGGTACTTTCTTCCACTTGACAAATACTTTGTTACTGCTGGCTATGTATGCCCCTGATGCTGGGGCAGGGGTTCCACACAGAGGCAGGATCCAACATCCTCAAAGAACACGCACATCCCTGCAGACAGTGTATGCAGAGGGGCACAAAATCTCATAGCCAACCGTGACCCAAAGACAGCTTAGGCAATCTCTCCCACCTCGTGTGCACCCGTACAATGTGACCTTAATGCTCGCCCCTCAGGAATGAAGTCCACCTCTCCTCCCCTTGAACCTGAGCCAGCCTATGGCCTGATTTAACCAACAGAATAAAAAAATGACCTTGTGTTAACTTTGGAGGACAGGCCTTCAAGGCTCTGCCTTCATTGCTTGGAACACTCCCTCCCCAAACCCAGCTGCCACATAAAAGGGCCATCATGCTATGAGGACATCCAAGAGACCCCGTGGAGAGAACCACCACTGGGAGAACCAGCCATGTGAGAGAGGCCTTCGAGGACCTTCCAACCGGGCCCAGCCACAGCTACATGAAGCCAAATGACTGAGCCCATCAACAACAAGACGTACAACAGAAGAACAGCCCAGCCAAGCCCCGCCTGAATTCCTGGCACACAAAATAAACAAATGCTGCTTAAAGCCACTTCGTGTTCGGGTAATCGGTTAAGCAACAAGAGATTCCTGAAACTGACTTGAAGCCAGGAAAGCAGGCCTGAGTCCTGGATCTCATCTTATCTAGCGAGGTGAGCCTGGGTCAATGACTTCCCCTGCACTGCAGTTTCCTCGGCTGTAAAAGCAGGGGGTTGTGTCCTAGGTAAGCTGAGGTGCTTTCCGGTTGCGACAGTCTGCGCTAGACCCATGGTCTCCGGGAAGGGCTGAGGCGATGAGCGCTGGGTATACAGACTGGGCATCAGGAGGAGGAAGCAGAACCAGGAGACAACAGCCCTGGGGCAGCAGCAGCTCCATGGCTTGTAGTAAGTCCTCACTAAATATCAGCTAGAATCAGATGGTTGGAGCAGTTCTGTGATGCTAGATGAGTTAATCCCTCTGATCCCCAATTTTTTTCATTGGAGAAACAGAGAGGACATGAATGCTTCTGTTTCTACCTGAAGAAAAGGCTTTGTATGGGAAAGTCCCATGCGAATTAAAAAGAAAAAAAAACACCTACAAAATGCATAACCACCAAAGCCATGCCCAGTCCCCTCCTCACCCAGCATGGGGAGACAGTCGGTCAGTGGCACTGGCTACCAGGAAGACACATGAGGACAGAGGGAGAGGCAGGGACAGAGCAGCCACACAAGCCATTAGGCCGAGTGAGATTTTACCACCCACCTCCCTGCAAGGATCAGTGGGCTAGGCACCCATGCTGCCCACGGAGGGCAGGTAATCCCTTAGGAGCAGCGCCCAACCCAAGGGGATATCTGCAAACAGCCCAACACTAAAAGTTTACGGAATTTCCTACATCAGAGTCCGAGAGGCCAGCAACTTGAGAATGTCCCGCCAGGGAGCCATGAATCAGACCACCGCCCAGCACAGAGTGGACACGCCATAAAAATGACTAAATAACACGCGATCTGGGAGTCTGAAGGAGTCAAAGCTCCCAGTAGTTGAAATGCTGTGTGCACTACAGCAGGCAACAACCTCCCCAGCCTATACCATCATTTATAAGACATGAGGAGACCCACCTCCAGGAAAGCAGTGAGAATCACATGAAACCACGAGTGAAAAACATCCGAGATTAAGTGCATGATGTTTTTTGTTTTCTTTCTTTCTTTTTTTTTTTCTTTGAGAGAGAGAGATGGGGGAGAAGGAAAGAACATCTTAAGCCGGCTCCTCAACCAGCATGGAGCTCATCGGGGCTTGATCTGTCTACCCTGAGATCATGACCTGAGCCGAAATCAAGAGTCCTACACTTAACCCACTGAGCCACCCAGGCACCCTCATGATGTTGTTTTTCAATGCACCGACCCTCTGACTCCCAGACACCCTTCAACCCCAGCCGTACCCTTTCAATCCCTGCAGAGGCCTGAAAATGAGTGGCATCCATCCAAACAGTCCTCTATCCAGTGTTGATTCTGAAAACCTGTCAGCCCTTGGGACAGAAAAGACCTGGGCCCATTTTCCAAGGGGATCTGACAAGGCAGAGAGATTGCATTTACATTTCCCAGCCCGTGCTTTTTCCAAAATGAATGTGGTGCAGATTTAACCTTGAAATCCCAAGGAGCGTGAAGGTCCACAGATCCTGCTCTGGTGGAAGGTGGAAACCAGCCCGAGGAGGTGCTTATCAGATGCATCTGGGACAGAAAATCGGATTCCACCACTACTCAGGTCCCAGCTGATGCGGTTTGAACGTCCTGGTGTCCAGCATCGATTACAAAGGGCTGGGAGTTAGGACCAGTCCTGAGTCAGCCCTGTGCTTTCTCCTCTACCTTGCCGTTCTCAGGGCAGAACCCCTTGGTTGCCTGTGTCTCAGATCTGCATTGGGAACAGCCTGGACCAGCTGTGGCTCCCCACCCTCCAATCAAGCACCACTGTGTGTGAACCCGGGGAAGTCACTAGAGGAACTACATCACGCAGGCCCCAGACATTTGCTTAGAAAAGAAATTCCATGTAAGGAAGGTGAAGATAAGATCCAGCAAGTTGGAGGCAAGCCTCAAACCCAATATTTCTCAAAATCTGGTCCCAGCCACTTGCATTAAATCACTACAATCCCCCTTAAAGGTACCCAGTCCCAGGCTCCCCCCAGATGTGTCAAATTAGAATTGGGGGTGGCAAGAATCTGACTTTTCAATAGGATTTTTATGCCTGTTGCATTTTGACACCTCGTCGGGACCAAAGGCAGAGACTGTGCAAAAAAGAGTTAAAAAGGTTTTAAAACACTTTAATTCTTGATCCCCTTTCTTGCCCTCATTCTTGTGAAACAGAGCACTGGTGAACCAAACAAGACAAAGCCAATTCCCCAGTTTACAGATATCCAAGAAAACTGAATTATGAGCACAATGAAAAGCCATGCTGTAAAGTGAAAAAGGCTCACCAGAGCAACAGGCCTGGACAAAAATTAACCCAAACATCCCATCTTAGACCAACCAGATCTATTCTGAGAGAAACAAGATAAGATCTTGGCTACAGCCCCACTCTGGTCCCAGCCATACCCACTAATTCCGCTCTGCTTTCCACCACAGGGTCTGAGTGGGATGGAGGCAGGGGGGTCCTAGCTCAAGCAAATGTGGTTGGGGGAAGGTTATGGGGTGGGGAGGGGGAGTAAGATTCACCAATTCACACATCCCCATGAGAAGGAAAAAGATCTAAAGGTAACTGACTGCATTGGGCACGTGTCAGACACTCAAAAAATATTTCACAAATTGAGGGAAATAGCCACCTGACGGAATCACCCTTGCCTGAGATAACAACCTGCATCTTCAAAGCCACGAAGGAAAAAAGGGAACGGAGAGTAAAACTGTCTCCACATCTAAAGTACTGTCTTTTCAAAACCAGCAAGAACCTAAAAAACAACCTCCTGGCAGGGGCAATACCTTCTGTCACTTAACAGCGACAGGCACGCTGCAGGTGCTGAGAAACTCTGAGTCTTTGGGGTCAGGCGGCACGAAGGAAGAGCAGAAGCACTTTCCGCAAGCGATGGGCAGCGGGAGCCCAGCTGCGATCGCAGGAACCAGAACGCCTCCCTCTGGGAAGTGCATCCCAGGGGGCCAGCCATACAGCGCACCTCCTGGTCCAGTCCAGAGGCTTGCGCCCCGCCCCCTCCCCAAGGACGGACCCGGGCTCTGGCCTTGGCGCTGAAAATTCCAGTCATCCCCGCTAAATTCTTCAACAGCGGTTCCCTACTAGCTGCTGAAACTTAACATTACGCCACAAAACTAGCAAATGGGCAGCTTTCACCCCTCCCCCTTCAACGACTGGCGCCTGCAAAGAAGTCCTGGCAAATCAGGCATTTAAGAAGTGACTGACACCTGGACCCGGTTACCTGAAATCTAGAACAAAAACAAACACAGAAACACCCCTGTATTATTCTCCTCGATCAGGAAGTAGGCATTCCCCCCTTTAAAAAAGCAAAAACAAAAACAAAAAAAACCTTCCTGAAAGCACCTCTCCCGCGGGATCCCAGCAGGTAAATAAGACCAGAGCTTCCCCAAAGCGATTCTAAAGAATCAGGGGTCCAGGCTGCGCTCCCCCGCTGGCTTCTCCTGCTCGGAAGGAGGGATCGGGAAGTCAGGCAGTCCCGGGAGGTGAGGATGGGGGAGTCTGCAGGTGGGAGGAGGGGGCGCAGCAAAACCGCCCGAACTTCTCAGCCGCTCTGAAGCAGTTCTGGGCAGGAGCCCGCGGAATTCAGTCCCGACCAGGGGAGTCACCTCCCTAACAGAAAGTCCCCCACATCAGCCTGGCCCGCCAGCCCCGCGTCCGCTCGGACGTGCCCCCAGGCGGGTATTGCCCCCCTTCGGGGCCCCTCACCTTGGCCTCGAAGCAGATGCCGTGCTGGAAGGCGTCCTCGTTGTGCAAGGGGATCCGCAGGTCGTGCCCATCGTCCACAAGGTTGTACTTGGTTTTGCTGGGCATGGTGGTGACCCGCGGTGGACCGGCTCCTCCAGAGGCGGCGGCGGGAAGGGGCTGGCCAGACCCGGGAGGGGTGAGGAGGGGAGGGGAGGGGAGGGGAGGGGCGCGCGGCGGCCGCGGGAGCCGGGACCCGAGCGGCGCCGAGGGCCGGACGGCAGCGGGCTGCGCGGCTGCGGGCGGCGCTGTGGCCGCGCGATTCCTGCGGGCGAGGAGGGCGGCGGCGGCGGCGGCGGGAGCGGGCGGCGCCGGGCCGGGGGAAGGGAGCGGTGGGCGCGCGGCCCGAAGCGGGACCCGGCACGGCGGCTGCCCGGGACGAGGAAGAAAAGGCGGCGGCGGCAGCAGCAGCGGCGGCGGCGGCGGCGGCGGCGGCAGCAGCGGCGGCGGAGCGGGGCGCCTGTCACGGAGACGCCGGATCGGCCGCTCGGGAGCCGCTCCTCCTGCGGGGCGGGGCCTGGGTCGGCTCCTCCCACGGGCGCCCAGGCCCCGCCCCGCGCCCGCACTGGCACCGCCCCGCGACGCCCGCCCGCAGAGCAGGTGAAAGTCCCGGGGAGGGCCGTGCCCGCCCTGCCAGGCAGGAGAGCCCTGCGGCCTGGCCCGCCAGTTGCACCGTGATCCCGGGCGCCCGGGCTCAGCCCTGCTTCTGTTTTTATGGTCACGTTCGGAGCCGGGTGCCGAGGGTCAGCCGCCGCAGCAGCGCCTTGGATGTTCTGTTTTTGTTGTGGGGGGGAGGGGCGGTGTTTATTGTCGGGTGTTTATGTTCTCCCGGGAAGGCCCAGCTCCTGGCCCAAATACATCCAAATCAGTAATTCTGAGAGTTCCTTTTCCCTGGAGAAACAAGATTGTACCCAGTGGGGGCCCATCACAACCGCTTTTTGTTCGGAACGTTTTGTTGGAGCGGTGATTTGTGGCTTGTGTAATGGGACCTGGGGGATGCCTTTTGGAATGGTTTTAATATTAAAAAGCCATCAGCCTGTGGAAATGGAGGAGGCCAAAAAAGGAATACTAAGGACAGGAGAATCCTCAGCCTTTTCATTTTTCTTAATTAAACCTTCTGTAACCGGCTATGGACAAGATGAATTTCCAAGTTATTTCCGACTGTTCTATTCTACCTCCCTCCCTAAATGCTTCAGTCAGTTTGCCTGTTGTTAAGAAGAGACCCCTTTGCTTTTCTCCTTTACATCTAGAGCTTTTGGCTTGCGGAATGTGCGAATGAAGGGATCATAAGAGTATCTGCCACAGGCACCTGCCAAAACTTCATAGGTAGTGGTACAGAATAACTATGATTTCCTTGGCTTCCCTTTACCAAACAAAGCCCCCAAGGGCAACCAAACACTCTGGTACCAACGGGAGTCCAACCTGAGATCACTGAGACCAAACAGGCACCTCTTGAAGGTTGAATTCATCACCTTAAACCTGCTTTTGATGCCCTGTGGACACATCCACGTGCGTAAATTCTCAAACCAAACATCATTGATTGTTATGGGGCAGGCTTGGAATCACCACAAAGCAGCACAGTACTGCTTGCAAAAGGCATATCTTCCTATGCCACTTCCATGATAAATTCATATAACAGAATGCCCTACTGCCAAAATTCTATTTCTCATATTGTCTCATAGTGCTTAAGTACAATTGTCCTTGCCTAAATTTTGCTCACTCCCTATCTGCTGAAATTACTGGTCAAGATGTAGCATCTTCTGGGATATCCCCTTAAATAAAAGCAAGCTGAGAACTGGAACAAATTCATCACATACTTTATGCTGAATAGACTTTATTATAGTCATAAATATTAGTTAGAGCCAAAAATCACTTGCACTGAGGAAAAGCACCACTAACATCTTTATAAATACAGAACATAAAAGTCTAATCAGGCATGTCTGACTCTTTGAATGTCACCATAGTTTTAATATATGCATCATAACCTGCTCTCTAAAACCTGGCACAGAACTCCACAACTTCAAGGCAAGACCTCAAGCAACTAAGCATTGACCTCTCTTATTCCCTCCTGAATTTAGTCTTTTGACTTAAAGTGCTTTTTTTCTAGATTTCCTTGGGTCCTACTGGACCGCTAAATTTTTGGTATTCCCTATCTAACTCTCTAACACACGGTAGGTGAGACACAAAAAGCTGAAACCCCAAAGATATTTCAGGGTCTAATACAGTGACTACTCTTTAGTTGACATCTAGTTGTAATTTATGGAGTCCAATAATAATAACTAATGTCTGCTGAACTTTTTCTATGTGTCAGGCATTTTTCTTAGAGCCTTACATGTATTATCTCATTTAATATTGACAACACTCCAAGGGTCGTCCCATTTTTTAAGAAACCAAGGCACACATGTGTTATGAACTTTCCCAAGGTCACATCAGAAAGAAGAGCCAGAATTTGAATCCAGTTCTACGTCATGAGGTGTTTCCATCATGGCCTGGATTGCCATGAAAGTCTTCTTACTGCAAACGAGATGCCTATCAAATTTAGGGTCTATGTTTTATTTGGATGTGTATTAGTGCTAAGCTCTATTCCTTCCATTTTAGTTGGATGAAATGTTCCAAAAAGAAGGGGACTATTCTCTGCTTTGACCTCCACGTAATACGTCAGAGCCACACAGGCATAAAAACACCCTTCTTCCAGAAACAATGGGCATCCAAAGTGAATTTCCTTATTTTTTAGCAGTGATCTCAATCTTGTTTTTGCACCTTTAAATATAATTGAATTTCCCACAGCATTTCCAAATCTATTTTTTAAACAAGTCAAGTTTTATCATTTTCCATATCCTTCTGTATTTAAAAACTGCATAAAGCAATTTTAATCTGAAGTACATTTAATTAAAATATAAATTGCTAAAGCGTATAATACTTGCTATGTTAAATTTTATTAAAATTTTGTTTAAAAATGAATTGAAAAAAATACCTAAATCCCTTTAGAACTGGAAATTTCTTGAAGATTCTCTAAACCAGCTCCCCCCACCCTTTTTTAAAATAAGTGACTCTTTTTTTTTTTAAGATTTTATCCATTTATGAGACAGAGAGCAAGCAGGAGGAGGAGCAGAGGGAGGAGAGGGAGAAGCAGACACCCTGCTGAGCGAGGAGCCCGACACAGGGCTCCCATCTCAGGATCCCCCCGCCAGATTGTGACCCAAGTCAAAGTCAGCTGTGCAACCGACTGAGTCACCGTCACCCTTAATTCACCTGAAAGAAACACGAACCTGGGAGAGTAAGTAGCTTGCCTACACCACATTCTAAATGAGAACTCCTACTTCGGTGATCTTTTCCTTACACAATGATGGGTTATAAGTAAATTGACAGGAAACTTTATTTTTAACACATATTTGGAACTGAGAAAATTTATTTGCTTTTGGTTATAAAACGCCTGCTTCACAATGTACTTCCTGTGCATTTTCTTACCTGGTCATATGAGAGAAGTACGATCAGTATACCCATTTTACAGATGAGGAAACTAAGAGAGGGAAAACTTGTATACGTCATAGAGCAATAGGTCCTGAGAATCCTTCCATGAGTTTAACCACAAAGAATGAAGATAATGTCAGCTTGACCAATACTGCTAAGATACACACGTGGAAATAATTCAAAATCTTTGTAGAAATCTTATCAAATATTAAGAACACACAACGATTTCCTCCTGCTGGATAACATTTAGCTCCAAAAAGTTCAAATTCTTTTTTCATGGCATTGTTTTTAAGTTGAAGATGTCTCCTGGGGCATAGAGAGGTAGAAATCATTAGCCCCCTTTTTATTCTCAGTGGACAAGGATGACTTTTTTTGAAACTACTGCAGAAGGGGTGAGAACTCAGAATTCAGGGTTCAGCACTCAATCTGAGCTCGAATCTGCTGAAACAAAGGACTGGCCTACATTATTGTTTCCCCTTAAAACTGACACCCGTGACCTACACCCCTATGCCAAGGGCAGGCCACATTTCCCATGTATTTATTTTAAAAGGTGAGTCTCTCTGTCGACAAAATCACGTGCGTTATGTTTTTAGAAACTAAATACTCTTTCAAATTGACTTCCACATGGAGGTCTGTGCTCCAGGCCTTCGGGCACAGCTGGCCAGTGCAGAGGAACGAGGCCGGAAGAAGGGAGCAGTGGGGAGCCGGGCTGCAGCTCCCCAGTTCTGGCCTTCTGGTGCGCTTTCCCACCCATCTCTGAACCCGAGAGGCAAGAAACAAAGAGAACTGAAGGTCTTGGACATTCTGGGAAGGTCTGCTCACTGCCTCACAGCCTTCTTTCTCTTAGAACACTTGTGGAATGAGATCTTGAGAACGGAGCACAGGCTGCAGATCTTAGCCAAAAGCCTTGATCTTATCCAAAAGGCCGAGAAGCCATGGGTTTGCAGAATTTTGAACTTAAGGCAGAAGGTTGGGTGCCTGGCAGGGTCTGAGCGCCCTTTCTTATGGAGATTCTTCTAAGCTCTCCTGGATGTTGTGACCATTCCTTGCTTTTTGAATTCAGCTTTCCTTTTCAAGTTAACAGCTGTCTTTCTGGGCTCTGTTTAATATTTCAGGTGAGAAATTTTTATTAATTCAACAGCTTCTCACCAAAGAGCCTTGCGATCAAAGGCAATACAATCATTTTTGACAAAAACGAACAAGAGTTTCTTCATTGGGGGTGGGGGGTAGCAGGGGGAGTCAGAGAGGTATACACCACAGGGAGACAGTTTTGAAGGGTGGAGGGTAATGTGTGATCTGAGTATAAAAAAGGATCCTGGGAGGAAAGGGAAGGCTTCAAGAGGGAGGTGAGGCTCAAATCCAATCTGAAACAGGGGAAGGATTTAATAATACAGCAGGAGGAGCACCGAAGACGTGGATGCGGGCCTGTAGAGACATTAATCTACAAAGTGTCTTCAGGAGACACTGAGGGGACCAGCTCCCTGGAGGGAGAAGCCTGCAAGTGAGTGCCCTTGGAGGGAAGGCTGGTCCCAGAGTCTGGGTGCACTGTGCCAACGCTGTCAACACTGGACTGCCAGGACGGAGCTCCTCTGTGGGAAACGTGTGAACAGGGATATGACCTGGGGTGCTAATTCAGAAAGATCACCCCGCAGAAAAGGGAAAGAAAACAACATGTTGTCCCTGACCCTTTTATTTCAGCTACAAATGAAAAAATAGGTGCCAAAGCAGATGATTGGGTTCTCATATCATGAGATTGTGTTCTCCCACACCCGCAAACAAAGGATGATGAAACAGAGCTGCAGCAAGTTTCCCTCAGGATGGCGGGGCCCCGAAGCACCTCCCTTCGCATGCTTCCAGATGCTTCCTAATTCTTGCTTCCATTCCGCTTCAGCCTCAGGCCTTCCCATTGGGAGACTATTTGCAGATTATCCGTACGGTCCTCCGTGCTGTTCTC